CTATTTATATTACACTAAGAGGCCACAGGCAGGATTGACGGTTTTTGTTCATGAAACGGAGGCCTTATGACGAGGAGCCTTTTGAATTTATTGAAGTTATGAGAGGAATATAAAGAAAAATAGATGCATCTTTTTAAAATTAGAATTTTTTTATATTGATGGAGAGGGAGAGATAAAAATTTAGAAAAATAGTGCTATTTTCCTGAGATTTTTAAAATGTAAATGAACATTTTAAATGGTAGCCTGCAATGATATTGAGAGAATGCAGTATGTTTTTACAGGTAACTGAAGGTACACATTTTTATTGAAATTTTTCATTTTCTGTGTTTTTTTTTTATTTTGGTTTGTGTTACATAATTTCTAATGTTTGATTGTTGTGGCAATTCATCATGACAAATTTACAATTTATTGGAGGGAGATTTCTAACATACAGAGGATATATTGCATGATAAATGTCTTGTTTCTACCTTGTTTGGTTACTCTGAATAATTTGAGTTGTATGATTTTTTTTTCTTTTTTTCAAGTATTTTAACCCAGTGTGTTGATAAGCTATCTGAACAGAGTTGTCAGTTTGAGTGCAGTTTTAATATACTGTAGTATGTGCTATTCTGAGATCAAAGCAACATGTTACATTACTGAAGCACCCTCATAGCCCTTTATACGCCTCATCAACAAATTCTTTACATCCCGTCTGTATGTACTTTTTCCTGAATATAAAAGATTAGTTTAAAACAGTATGATGGGGGACAGAAATAAGTTCCCTTTTGTGCCCCCAGTGGATGACTGATTTGATAATAACCCATTTCAGTCTTCTTATCTGGTCACTGCTGTATTGGCCATTGTTAGCTCCGAGTCCTTAATGGTCCAATGTATCAGGGGAGATAATCCCTTATCGCTACATTCCAGTATATACCTGTATCCTCCTTATCAAGGGCCAGGGGTGCACCCAGTATTAGTCACTCATTCAGGTGTCAAATCAAGCAGAGTAATATGTCACATCAGTTACACTGGTTCTTATTTAGGATAGGAACATATTTTAATTTAATTTCAATTACACTGTAAAGTGCTTCAAAAATTGCAATTTACTATAAAAACATACAGTAAAACTCTTTAAATACGAACATGGATATTGATGAACATTGAAATTACAAATTCATGGATATAACAAAGTTAACCTGGATAATTTAAAGACCTCCTTATATGGCAAAACGAATTACTGATATAACTTGGTAATTCTAAAGGTCCCAGTGACTTTGTTATAACTGAGTTTTACTGTATATGTCTACATCTGTGTGATTGCTCATTCATTTAGTATTGATATCACAAAACAAATCAAAGAAATTAAGCATGTTATTTCAAAGAAAGGATTTGAATCATCTAAAACTCAAAAAGTTGAAATATTTGTATAGCTGTAATAAGAAAAAATAAGACACATGCTACAAACAAAAAATTGGATGCATGTATTGGTATATATTCTAATTTAAGACTGATTTTAGAATTAAATGATGCAAATATATTAGTAAAGTGTAGACTTTTGTGCTGTTCAGGAGTCCTCCTTTTGTCGTCAACCTTGTAGAACATTAAAAAACTGTGGATGAAAAGCGAAACTCTGGCTTTGCATGCATTATACTTAAACATTAAACAAAGATTTAGTTGTTATAAGATTTTGTATAATCAGTCCTCATCCCTTTCTCTTTGTTCTGTAACAGCCCAGGCCCAGTTCCCCTGGCTATTTTATGCCTGTACCACCTGAGTCACCACGGTAGGTACTATGTGAGTGGAGACGGGCTTGGGTGCACATTTTGCCGGGACTAGACCAATTTTATGCTGCGTGTTGTGTACTTTAAAAGCACTAACAAGGGACAGGATTAAACATCTTAATTGAATAGTAATTTTCAAATATTTCATAGAAACTTGGTTTTGATATTTTTGTATTGGGCATTGATAATAAATTTACAATTTTTTTAACTATAGATATCACAGAGCATTTGTTTGCACAGGTACGCTGTTCGAATGAGATTTTAAGTAAGTTCAGGGGTACATGTATAGCAATTCATCATGGATTTCCGGGGATGACATTTTGTTGTTCAACTGTTTCGGTCATAGTATTTCTGAGTGTAATCCATCTAACTGGAGTGGGTTGTTGCCACGAAATATGAATTTGTCTGTAAACGGATTTACACGAGAGCTTTACGACTCCCAGACTAAAAGAACATTAGGATGGGTGCTCATATAACGGTGGTCACCAATCGCGTTCGTTTTCCTGCTTTGTTTGAATTCGTAATGAACTTGGTGTAAAAATCATCGAGACAAGATATTTAAACCATCTCTTCATCGCACCTGACAGTTTCAATAGAAAGTCTGTGTCTTGTTATAAATAGAGACAAACACCGTTTCTGTTTGCCCAGTGTTGAATCCTAATATTTACAGGAGGATGGCGGGAACCCTCTAAGCGTTGTTGACTTACATTGGCTTCCACCAATACTCTGAGTCAATAAGTTTTGTGTTAAACTTGTGAACACATTATAAATGCAAATACTTCTGGTAAACAAAAGTTGATGACAGTGGTAATCTCTCTTGATAAGGGCTCCGAACATTGAACGCCGTCTCCTCGATCTTTTCGGAGGTCCTCTTCGATCTTTGGCGGTGGTCCCCTTCCACATGTATCAGATTTCAGCCCAGTACAAAAAATCTACCTCGTGTTGATAAGTAAAGATGACATTTTAAGGACAAATCAAACATTTCTTAATGTTCTGATTTGTGTGAATAGATTTGAAGTTGTCTCAGATTATCAATGGCGAATAATCGCGTGTTTGTGTGTTTTTGGCGTTGTGTAAATTTGTATTTTTCTTCTTATCATGCAATATCATGTGCCAATGTGTGTATACTTGTTTATCCAAAACTCGAAGGTCTGACCCCGTGGTACTTCAAACTCGACACTGACAAGACAACCCAGCGATTGTAATAAATTTTACATCGCAACACGTAAAACAAAAGAATGAAGTTAAAATCCCTTTCAGGCAGACTTTCAGAACGTGTTCTGCTGAAGGAAGCGGAGCCAGCGAGGCTAGCCACCCATAATCAACTACTGCTAGATTAGCTATAAACATATTTGGCCTAGTTTTGTTTTACATTTATCAGCGGGAAAAATAAAAGGTCAGAAATCTCCATTTAGGATTATCAGAGACTGCAGGAAATTCTTGAGTTTCCTCGAGATAAACCCTGTTTGTGCGAAAGGTTGAAATCACTATTGGTGGGGTCCCTTGTTCCTAATCTTCCAGAGCCTCGGAAGGAGAGCTGGTCAATTATTCAGATTATATTGTTCATTTCTGTGAACCACACCGGTCTCAGAAATAACCTCGCTGACAAGGAATCCACCAGAACATAACCCACAGAGTCAAATCCGAACGTCCGGGTCTAGCAGAAGACACAAACATGTATTGTAATTACATGTATATCATAGGTGTGTGTAAAAAGATGATCTTAGAATGACCAGTGGATGGGGAACTGTATTGATCAAGAGCTTTATTGTAGGGAATTTTCCAAATATATTACCTGTCAGCCATCAAATTTACCTCCCTCTTAAAGTCCATGAAATAGTATTTAATAAAGAGAGATATGGTTCAAATTGACATGTATGATAGCAATCACACAGAATGAAATAAAATTGATAAACCGTGGGGGATAAAAGGTTATAAACCTGCGATTGTATCCTTGAAAGATATCTCCAATTTTAACTGATATACCCATCCGAACACGTCTTTGCTTACGTCGTGGATTTTTATTTTCGCCTTTCAAAAAAGATTACTAACAAACATGGCGACAGCTGGGGTTAAATAAATCGAGAGGCATTAACGTACATATAGCTCAACAATTACCAAATCATTACCTGGTCATTTTAGTTGTATTTTATTCAACTTATCTGGAAGTGAGAGCTGGGGATTTAGAATGAAAGGAACAGTCAGCTGAACGTTTCCAATATCTCGGCTAATAAAACTTCAGTTCCGCGGAGGAGGCGAGCTTTCCGCGGGTCTAATCACCGCTATAGTCAAATTTATTACGCTTCGCACTTGCATAAATTCAGCAAAATGAAAATTCATCTGAAACGTCCAACTTAATTGCATATTATCTAATGCTCAATATGTCGGCGATATTGGGAAACATAGCCCTGGTTGTTGATGGTCTCCTTGGTGAAGCAGTCAACTTCTAAACACCTGCAGACGGTAAGAGATTTGTCCTAGGAGCCGGCAGATCTGGACTGATTAATAGATTCCTTGATAATCGTGGACATTTTCCTCCAGTCCAGGCATGGGGTCAATCAACACAGCGGTCACCTACATTGTAGACATTCATTGATGTTGAATCACTGCTTCTTTATTTTGGAATTGTTCATATTATCAAATCATGGAAATAAATGATTTGTCAAATGGAGCACGTAATTCATTTAATTAGTGTGATCAAAGAAGTTACATATTTATAAGGCGTATCTGAAAGGAGGGGAGAAACCAAAAGGAAGGGACTTTGAACTTTAACACCAAGCAAAGCAAATTGTAAAGCCTTGTAGAATATAAGGTTTGCTGTTTTCATGGAAAGAAGTGATTCCCTCTGCTCTAGATATTTCCTTACTCCATTTTTTTTTCATACAAGTGTACATTTGGCTTCACTTTGAATATCCATGCTTTTATTTTCAAAAGAAACACAAATAGATGAGTACATCGTAAACATGGGAACTCTTTAACCAAAGAAGGGTACATGTCTGTACATCATCGGCTAAAAACCTTTTACAAATAGTTTTCAATATACCATAGCTTTCCGTAACTTCTAATTATTTTGGGTCTGAATTGTCAGTTGAAGCTAATACAGTTTTAGTTTTCTGTCTTCTTTCTCCAGTAAAGCAACATTCCACGACAACATTTCTGATGTACAAGTATTCTAAGATAATTAATGTTTTGAAACTAAATATGAACAATATTCAAACCGAAAATGTTGTAAGTGTTTTCTTTCTCATATCTCCAAACGGAGGAAATAAGGCCATTGAATGAACAAAAGACGATCCATTGAATCTTCCGTTGAAAATTAATAAAATTAATTATTTTTTAATACTTTGTACAAGAAAAAAATCTAATTGTTTCAATTACAGATGAAAAATAACTGAGATGTAGTTTTGCTGTTACACTTATTGTTAGAAGGAAATCGTTTCCTGTCTATATAGTTTGTAGGGAGGACAAGGGTTCCTTTGTACTAGCTGTGAGTCCCACCGCTTACTCCCACACGTGTACAAGTTGTTCAACAAGAAATACTTATTCTAAAATCTTTATATGATGTTGTTTGAGAACAGACCAAGCCAACAAGAACATCAAGAAATTCGGGATAATGTAAAGTGTCGGGCTAACCGTAAACAAACCATTTATTACACTGTATCGATACTGAGATGAGGACAGGAACTTCATTTCCAGATTGGGACTTACTGAAAAATTAGGACCCCCAACATACTGTATCTCCCAAATGTTCCATCTTAATTTACTCAGATCAATAACTCTTCATTTTGATACATAAATCTTTGATAATCCTTCATTCGAAAAACCAGCTCGCAGCACGGAGTATGTCTATTCCAGGTGATTAAGGATGTTTTAAAATGAGGGTTTCGACCCTTTTCTTATTCACACCTTTTTGCGTTTGGGTGCATTGCTTTTTTCCTAGGAAGTATAGCGTTAACCTTAGAATTCGGGTTTTTCATTTGGACTAAGTTATAGACAGATCTAGTACGCATTACATTGATTGATTTTTGTCAGTGCCATGTGATAAAAGGTAAAAACTCATTGGGAGCCATTACACATGGTGAAAATTGTACATTTGTCTTCAACCCTGATAACCCATGTTGTCAAAGCGCTTCGTTTTCAACGAATGACAAGCGAATTTGCAATTAAATTTATTGAGAAGAATTTAAGGATAGATGAAAAAAATAGAATTCAAGGATAGATGGAAAACACATGCTGAACTGATTTTCATTGTACATGGCATTACATGCATGATTGTTTCGTAAAAATGAAGAAGCTTAGTTTTATTTATCAATTCATTTATTATTGAAAAAAAATTATCAAAAAAAGGAAAAAGTGTTTTTTTTTAATGTGTATTTTTTCTATGAATTTCAGGCAAAACTGGCAATTCTCCAACAAGAGCGCGATCTGGCACTTGCGCAAAATCGACAACTCGCGGATGAAATTCAGACGATACGCATCTACTACAGGTACAACGGAAGATCTTAACTCTTTTTTATCATTAACATAAAATAAATCTCTTTCCTTATAAATATATATTAAAACAGGTTTACTTTCTTCTGCTTTATTGCTTTTAATATTGGCCATAAATTGTCAAATGACAATACTTTGTAAAAGAAACAAAGTAAGTAATTCAATCGAACACTCTTAATTCAGCCTCCACAAATCCCTCACCTCGGAGCCCAGGTCCACGGGATTGAAACCAACTCACTTCATCCCTTCAAGTCCTCGATGAGTAACAACACAGAGAAGGAAAAGCGCCATCTGGCGGAACAACTAGCAGAGGAAAGGCGAGGAAAAAAGTCACCTGCAGACGGAACTTGAAAAAATGGAGGCCCAGATCGGAGAGAATGCGCGGGAACACGAAAGGTCAGGAGGTTTTCTAATTTTTATGAATGAAACAATTAAGAAATAAAAATTTCCTTCAAAATATATAATAATTTTTCTTATTTAGGTTAAATAATTTGGTTGCTGCTTTAAGACGAAAGTTAAAGACAGAGTTGGCGAAAGCTGAGTCAGCTGTTTCAAAATGACACGTCTTATGACAAAAGAACTAGTTAATGATCGATTTTAAAAATTGTTTCCCTTCTTTTTAACCTCTTTGCGGCCTTGATGTAATTTATCTACATATATACTAGTACGTGAATTAACTTGTGGCAGTCTTTGTATAATATGTTATGTGTTCAGGTATATTTTTTAAATCTAAGGTATAAATTATTAAAAAGAATATATATGCCGCCCCAAGAATGTTGCCGGGGCAATTTGTTATGTCCGTCTTTTGATTTGCCGCCATACTTTGCATTTAGCTCAGTTTCAAATTAGAAACTGTTCCAGTTGTTTTTACTTGAATGAAACTTCTCAAAATGCTCTTTTTTAAGGTTGGCCTTTTCGATGATTTCTGAATGGAATGTTGTATTCATTATTTACAAAACTTTAGTGTAGAGAAACTGGTAAAAAATAAATTGCGTAAAACTTCATGTCATAAAATTGTTCATGTTGCCTTACTCGTGAATCCTGGGCGGGGCATTGCTGACCTATGGACATATTTCTAGTTTATTGGATGTGTCTAAGAAGGGCCAGGTTAACACGACGTTTTTTCTGATATTGAGGCTAAAATTCATGTTAAAACTCTTAAAAAAATTTATTTGATAATCTGCTTTTTAACAACAACAAAAATTACATGTATATATTATATATTATGTATAATGATTTGAATTTAAACATTGCAATATTGAATTTGTACAGTTATTCATAAAATTATAATGTGCTACATTGTCATATTAGATTTATATATTCTAAAAAGTAAGTACATTTATATTTAATGTATGTATGTTTAAGTTATACATATTCAGACCTTCATTTTTGGTCTTCTCACTTGGCAATACTATTGTTTCTTTTTCTCACTGGGCAATACTATTGTGTTTGTTTATAATATTAATGTATATTAGATAACTGAAAGTACCCGGGTATTTTCTTTCTTTTGGTGCAATCCATAAACTTTTAAAACTGTGCAAATATATTTTAATCTCTGTCGTTTTAATTTTACAAGTCACAGATTCTATGTTTAAAACATTTGTCTTAAAAAAAACAACATATTAAACGAAGTAAACATTTTGACAAAATGCGATAAAGCCGGAAGTTTATGTTATTATTTAGAAACTTATCATCAGTGATTAAACCCACTGAAATTGTTGTATAAATATTGTCTCTAGTAGATTGAAAATTTTATATGTAACATTTGGAACTTACTATGTTTGAATGGTACTAATATTATGCTAGAATAACTCATTTTGTCGTCTTGTATAATTTTATATTGTAGCTCTGTTACATTCCGTTATGTGATCACGTGACTTCCTGTTGTCGTCACGTGACAATCTGTTGTCTCCCCTATTTTATTTTGTTTTTTTTGGTTGTGATAGTTCGTTTTTTATTTACTACACATATCGTTGACCCTTTTTCACTTCTCTACTCAATGAATGTATATATTCCGTCCTATTTTTTCAGTGAAGGGAAATATGATTTTTTTGTTCTTGAAAATCCTTTCAAACATTGTCTCAGTTTGTTTGAAAATTATATTTCAGACTGAGTTCTGTATCTACAATTGTAATTATAATATACAATATATATTTTATTAGTTATTTTAAAGAGAATAAAAATATTTTCATATTAAAGGTTAATTACTAATAAAGATTACTACAACATGATTTAGCTGTTTCTTTATTCAAACAGGTATTTGTCTCTATGTTTTATATTTGTGCCTAATGTTATCGTGCTGGAGTCGTTTGTCCGTCTGTTTGTGTGAAGTTGACAGCTCTATACTTACCTGTGTTACGTCTTTGTTTTATGGTCTTCTTTGAGTGTATTGTCTGTCGGTATTCGACCGGGCCCCACGCTAATCCCTGTTTATGTTTGTGTCGTACATATTTAAGTTTACCCATAGAAAACACTTTCATCTTTGAGTTGTCAAAGAAGGTAAAACATTTATCATTTTTTCCTGGGTCCGTTAGAGGTGTACCAGCAATGTATTGTATAATGTAAACTCTTATAAAGATTTTTTATTTAAATAATGAAATTTTCTATATTATTTTAAAAGAAAAAATAAAATGATTTCGCTGTAACTTTGATTATTTTCTTTCCAATTTTCAAACAATCTTTATATGCCGCTTTGATGTTTGAGCGTGGCAGTATATCACAGGGGCCGACAATTACAGGTAAGAAACTAGTAACACCGTCTGACTATATAATAACTCATAATTTAACTTAGATCGCCTTTTCATATTTCGGGGTATTAGCTCCATCTTTGATGAGATGTTCGTTCACGAGCAAGTGTGAAAATGAAGAGAGCATTCAAAGATTCCTGCCTACACCCTGTGTTTACTTTCGCTAATGACGCGATAATGTAAAAACTTATATCACAATTAAACCACTGTTCTATGTTTGTATATTTCTTTTCTTTAATGTCGGTCACACAGTGAGCTTCATCAAGACGTTGTTTGTCGAGAGTAAACACGGGTACACAGGGGTCCAGAGTCTGTTTCCGGGGATCGTGCTTGCCGGGGGAAATTCCTTAATCAGCCTGCCTTTATACATTCTTTTCATCATTAACACACTTAAATCTGTTATTCTGATCCGAAAAGAAGGATTCAGCTTGAGTTATTCAAGTCCCTCAAATACTGAGCAAAAATTATAACAGGCACCAATGATTAGTATGATTTTTTAAATTAGATTATAACTTGATAAAATAAACGCTTTATTTTTATGAAACAGAAATGGTGAAACAAATTTTCTCGCCGTATAAACCAGTATTCTTTTTATTATTTATAATATTATCATGAAATTAATTCATTTTCCAAGAAAATAAAATGGTGAGAACCAATTTGTTGTAGTCGTGACGCTAATCCGAGATTTATGTAAAACTGTTTGCAGTATGACGATATTAGTGATGGATCGGCAGAGAACGGTTTTGCCGATAACGTTATAAACGGTCAATTTAATTATTCATTATGCAAGTTCCAAAGACAAATTACATATCAAAAATTCTGCGAGGAAGTGTCAGGAAGCAGTCTTCAATAAAGCTATTCCCTCTGGTGGTATTGCTTGAATATTGCAATAGGAAAATGCACAAGTGCGTAATATGTTAGCGATTTCAGAGCCCTAGCGACAAAATTGGTGAAATTAATTAATATTTTTTAGTTTCCGTGGGGCAAAAATGTCGGTGTTTTATTAAATAGAAAACGATCTCCGGTTATTGGTTTGTTAGCAGTTTAATATCTTTATTTAATTAATATATGGTTTAATCGCTTGCACCCGTCTCGCAAAGGGACTTAATTCACTTGTAGGCTTTTATCGGTGACAATTTGACGCCTTCCCGGGTCTGGAAAACCAACAACATCGTCTGATATTCATTAATGATATCTGTTTTCAAATGGTGTTAAAGGGGGCGCTACAAGTGGAAACGCTTTTTTAATTAAAAGAACACGATTGTATCTTTTTATCTCCTTCTTCTATATGGAGCTGCAGTCACGCACAAATTTCCGTAATATTAGTTTAGCACTTGGACTTGTCCATCAGATCTAGTGGTTTCTGATTTTATATGGATTAATGCATTAAATTCCATATTTTCTGACTGATAGAAATCATAACGATTTGATATCATTATACCCCCGCTTGAAAATGGGGAGGGTATATGGTGATCGAAGTGTCCGTCCGTCCGTCTGTCACGCTTTTGGGTACTCATCTCTAATCCGCAACTCATCTTAAACCACTGAATGAAATTACATGAAACCTTCACAGAATCTTTGCTACATAGTGCCATTGCTCATCTTTTATTTTACTTTTTGATCCGACACATATTTTGGGTTTCAGAGCAAAACATTGACGTGCCACTCTTTCTATAATATTTAAGGGTATCCATCTCTTATCCGCAACTCCTCCTATACCACTGAATAAAATTTAACGATACTTTCACAGATTCCTTATTATACAATGCCATCACCTCCTATTTTACTTTTGATATGAAACTTATTTGGGTCTCCCATAGCAAAACATGGACTTCGCCATTATAATCATATAGGAGGCGGGTGTCATTTTGTGAGCTCAGTGCTCACAGTACCTCTAGTTTTTTTTTTTTTTTTTTTTGTTAATAAAGAAGATTGCAAAGATTGCAGAATCTTACATGTACAGTTCGTTACCTCTGCTAGAAATAGTTACCAGTCAGATAACTCAAAAATACCAGGTAATTAATGCTTTTATAATATTCATACAGTTTGTTTGCAGGGTTTTTTTTTTTAAAATTTTAAACCGA